TGAGAAAAAACTTCTTGCCTGTGAGGGTGACAGAGCATTGGAACAGGTTGCCCAGAGAGGTGGTGGAGTCTCCTTCCCTGGAGATATTCAAAAGCCGTCTGGATGTGATCCTGGGCAATATGCTCTAGGTGACCCTGCTTGAGCAGGGAGGTTGGACTAGATGATCTCCAGAGGTCCCATCCAACCTAAACGATTCTGTGATTCTGTGAAAATTGACAGCTTAATGTTGAGAGAGCAGGAAGAACAGAAAGCTTCCCATAACATATCCTTTTTCCTTTACTGTATTTTGAATATACTAGCCTTTAGCTAGGCAGCAATTCTACTGTAATTCCCTATGTAGTGATACATTTTCTTGCAGCCGTTGCTCTCCACCACCACTAGTCATATTGGCAGGTAAAAACAAATGTCTGTGTGTGTTTTTTATTTCCTGTAAAGGAATATATGCTTCAGAAATTAGAATTAAAGACATCAGACATTGTGATTTCCTCTTAATAGCTCTTAGACAAAGTTACTGTGTCTCTGTGAATTAATTCTTTCATTCACAAAAATAGCATGAAAAAACTCTTAGAATTTTTTAGATGTGTTCATTTAGGGATAAAAATGTTGTACAGAAATAGATGATTCATTAGCAGTTTTAGTAAAATCAGTTTCTTATGCTAAAACCTAGCATTTAAACTACATCTATGTTTTATTTCAAGCATTTTGATGATCATATTTTGTTTCTACTTAGCAGGTATGCAGTCAGCAACTGAAGAATGCCGTTGTAGTTCTGTAAACTCAGAGGATCCCCAAAATAGGTGATTGCTGGTTCAACACATTTTCACGACCTATAAACCCTTAATTCCTGAGAAAGCTTGCATCTGATAAGCCAAACATTTTATTTTTCGTTTTTGACATTTCCATTTTTTGCTTATTTTTATTTTCTTAGCTCTATAACTCTGCTCGTATACCATAATCAGCACTGATCGAGGTCTAATAGGTACAATCATGCATGATATTTTTGAAGGAATAATGTTTAATTTTTATAGAATCATAGCAATGTTAGCTGCAAGAGACTTCTGGAGATCTCATAGTCTAACCTCCTACTTTGCAGCAAGACTGCTGCCAACACGAGATCAGATCAGCTGTGTCTTTGGTAGTTGTGTCTCAAAAACCTCCAAGGATGAAGATTCCACAGCATTTCCGAGCAGTGTCTTCTCTTCAGCATAACCGTTTTGGTGAACAAGTTTTCTCTAATATCCAAACTGAACTTCCCAATCTGCAGTTTGCTGACCGTTTCCCCTTGTCATATGATCTGGCACAGCAAACGGAAAGTTTGGCTCCATCACCTCTGCAGCTCTCAATTAGTTGTAGGCTGCTGTTGGGTCACCCCATAACTCCTTTTTGCCAGATTAAATGAGCACAGCTCCTTCAGCCTATCGCCATGTAAGGCATGTGCTTTACTCCTCTGGCCATCTTGGCAGCCTTCTGCTAGACCCTCCCCAGTTTCTCCATATGCTTCTTGAATCAGGGAGCCCCAAATCTTGAACATAGTGTTCCAGGCGCAGCCTCCGCTGCACCAAAAAGAGGGGGATAACCACCTCCCTCAGTCTGCTGGCTGTGCACCTCCTCACGTAGCCCTGTATGTGTTCAGTCTTTTTTTACAGTGAAAGAGCAGCCCTCATCTCATAGTTTTCAACAAGATAATTTTCTGTGTTCTGGTAGAATAACTCAGAAACAAAACATTTCTGGGTGTGGGAGGGGAAACAATTTCAATTTCTTGACTAAAATCCTCAAAATAGATTATTATCCTAATTCCTTATATCCTTATATTCCTTATATCCTAATTCCTTACTGAAGTAGCATTTTTGAGTAAGCTGCAACCTCAGAGTGAGAACTTGAAGGCAGTGAACTTTTTTTATTTATTGTCTTGCTTTTACGGTTGTTTAAAAGCATTGTGGTGTAGCTTTTAATACTTTTATTTTATGACATTTTTTTCAAGTGAAGATAACCAGGTCAGGAAAGAGGATGATGCTTTGGCCAAATGGGTTGCAGATCCAGCAAATACAGCATGGATGGAAAGTAAGTATCAGAGAGCCCTCAAGTACAACTTTAGAAGAAAATCAATTTTAAGTTGCGATCAACATTTATTTATGTATTTTACAGGGATGTCTGTATTCACTTTCTTTTTTCTTTCAGATGTGTTCCAGAGCCAAGTTGTACCAGTTAAAAAAAAAAATTCAATAGTGTAATATTTTAATGTAAGCTTAACACTCACTTTTCTGTGGAGTACTCTGTGAAGTTAATGGAATCATATGCCACTGTTTAAGGCAAATCATTTGGCTCCATTGGATATATATATAGTGGAAATGTGCTGAAGTTCACAGTCTCCTCTGTGGCTGTATGAGAGTTTGCTCTTCTGATAGGAATTTGCAGTTAACTTCTTGGAGAAAGTGGAAGGGAAGAAATTATCAATTTTTTTTAGTGTTTCACCTTGGCTCTTTCCTGGCAGGTGTGTTTTAGACCAGAACAGAGACCATGTAGTTTGAGGACAGAATTTCCTGGCCGTCCTCAGCTCAGACTAATTGAGGGTTCCCGCTGGGCTGGTGGTTCCCCTAGCATGGCATTTGAAACGAATGAAGAATTTGCATCATCATCTCAACCTGCCTCTTAACTTACTAGAATGATCATTACATTATTTAGAGTTTTGGTTCTTTTTTTAAAAAAATGTATGTTACAGCTTCCTAGGGCCAATTAGTAAGGCAGCAAGCAGTGCTCAGCAAGCACAAAGCATACCGTAGTGCTGTGAAAAGGAGGGAAAAATGTTAGCTCTGGAAATGGGTTTCTGTTTTCAGGATCCCAAAGATTATCATAAAGAAGACAGAAAACACCATTTGAAATTTCTCAAATATATCATCATTACTGGGATTGTGCATTCTTATAGTATTTGATTAATGATAATTAGATATACTAGCAAAATGCTGATGGACAAATCTCCATTATATTCATATGTGCCAGTATAACCAAAATTCATTGTTGTTCCCAATCAAATTTTGTGGGATTTCTCATTTCTTTTTCCTGTTTTGCTTTTAGACCCAGATGAAGTAATTTATGATGATGTGCCAAGAGAAAATTCAGACTCTGAACCAGGTTTGAGGTCTTTGTAATATAAACCATGTAGATGTATTCTAAGTTGAAAGAAATGTTATGTGAGCTGTGTGAATGGCTACTGAATAGACAAATTCACTAAGTACCTTAAAATATGTCCGTGAAATTAACACTATATCCGGGGGTCTTGCAAAACTCAAAACTAACTCTTGACAGAATTTATATCCACAGGTTTCCTAAACTATTTTGTTCAAAAGCTGAATCCTGCTTTATTGTACAGATACTGTCCCGAATCCCTGGGTGGCGATGTTCCATACATTAGAGAAAGACAGAGTTAGAGTTGGGGGTATTGTAGCCATGTGACCGAAACAAGGCAAAGTACGTAGGGAGAGGATATTTTTAAATAGATCAACTGATTTATAATTGTACAGAGAACTGCTCTATTCTTTAAAGTTCTGCTTCACATAAAGTTATCTGATAGATGAAAAAGTATGTTCAGATCACTGCACATGCATTGAAGAGGAGATTCAGAGAGGCCGTTTACCACCTTAACTGTGACTGAAGCTGAAATAAAACATTTCTGCAGAATAGTGTAGCTCCTTATTTTGCATCCATTTTTGGAAAGGCGAGAATAGATTTCAAAGCAGTTGCTGGAGCCAAGATTTTGTCCTGACTGGGATCAGTGGAACTAGGAGTCAAGAGGCTTATTTAAGCAAGGTCTCTCTCAGATTTGTTTTGGCGTTTTTGGTTGCAGTGAAGACTGTACTTGAGGCTTGGTTGATGCAAGATTTTGTGTTTGATGGTACTAGCTTATTAGGAACTCAACATCTACTTTTCTTGGCTTTTAGGGGGTACAGGTATTTGAGCTGAATTTTACTATAACCGTGTTAACGATTCAAAAAAGCACGTAGGCTGTAACGTTTTTGTTTCTTGTTCTTAGTACTGTTCAGGCAAGACGTTCTGCAAATTTTATTACTAAAATATGTTTCATTTATTATTTGCATTTCTTACATTAGTGACTTGAATGCTTTTGTTACTGGAAGGTCCCAAAGTTGACTGTGCCAGTCTGGGCAGGGACACCTTCCAGCTCAGTCAGGAAACATGTACACGGCAGCTGGGGCTGACCTGGGGAGGTGAATGGGACGTGGAACAAAGCTTTGCTGAGCATCTCAATCAGAATTTTCAGCTTAACCTGGAAGTTATTAACCCAAATTCTGGCTTTTTATCTGTACCAAAGACATTGGAAGATTCTGAGAAAATAGGTGATGAGGGTAATTTCATCTCTGCATGTTCATGATCTTTATGTTTTGTATGTTTGGATTGTATGTTTTGACAGGGAGACACATCTATTTCACAAACATTGCAATCTGAGTGTCTCATTCTGCAGTAGCATGTGAGCAAGATATATCCACTAAATCACTGGGCATATCCTGGCCCAATACTGGCATTGCAAAATTTGGACTTACATCATTATAATGATGGTTTTTTAAGATTTTTTAAATTTTAAATTGTGCTAATTACCACTGAAACTTCTCCTTCAGGAAGTGTATTTTAAGGACAATTTTGATATACATGGAGATTTTTAAAAAAAACATTTAATTATCCCAAATTAGAGGAGATTACTTCATGTTAGTTCTAAATAATGTCATTAATGTTAATATTGGAAGATTATTACTGATCAAAACGTAATTTTTCAATCCTAGAATCATGAATTAGGCAGATGTGTAAAACATGTCAGTTTTTCTTTTGAGTATGTATTCTTTTTCAATTTAAATAAAACTGAAGTTCTAGCCTTAAAACGGAAGCACAAATTTTTTTACTGGGTTATGTGATGCAGCTTTAAATGCTAAGTTATAACCTCTGACAACAGGGATCCCTAGCAGGATTGTAATGGATCTAATTGTAGTGGGTCAGATGATTTTGTATGTAAAGTGCATGTCTGTTTTCTGATCAGTATTTGATAATAAACATTTTCCATTTCATTTTTGAGTTAGTTTGTCAAATCTGATGTCTTTGCCAAATAAAACATCAGCTGAGGTAAGGAGTGGAAAGTAGAAAGTAATAAAGCCATTAGAAATACTTCCTTAAAACAACGTGGAGCAATGTTGTAGCAATTGTTTTTTAGTATTTTGGAAACACTTTTTCCAGTGTCTTTAACTGATGCTACTTTGGTAAGCCTTTGAAAAAGAGCTTTCTGAATCTTATAAAGATTAACATTTCAAGCCCAGTTTATGGACAAGGTAACATGCAGATATAAGGGCTTCCTAGTAACTGGTAGAATACCAGTATAGTTGCACAAGTGATCAATCATAGTATACCAAAAATATTTTGTAATATGCTTCTTGCTAATTTGATCTGATCTGTTCTGATTTAAGTAGTGATATTTTCATTTGATGTTCACAGTGTTTCAGCATTTGTTGTTTGAACTGATCATGAAAAAATTCCTAAAAATAAATGGCAAGCTTGCAGATGGAAGGTTGATTTTAATCCGTGCAGAGCTGGGTTTACAGCTACAGTTTCAGCTTACTCTAAATGTCTTCTGAACATGTCATTGGATTCGGACAAAACAATGTAGTTTGAGTAGGACACGTTTTTGAAGGGATCATGGCGTGTACCCAGAACACTGGTCATGTGTCCTGTTTGGTATTCTGTTTCAACAAAGAAGAGCTACTTTGGCTGTTTGAACACTGCATCACTTTATTTGTATTAGCAAGTGTGCATACAAAAGTCTATGTAGTTCTTTATAGTACATAGTGAACAAGCTTTTTGATGTTTGAACAGTAATTTCAGTGTAGCTTAACTTTTTATTTTGGTGTAATTCTTGCAGAGGAAATGATTTATGATGATGTTGAAAATGGGGATGATGGTGGAAACAGCTCCCTGGAATATGGGTGGAGTTCAAGTGAGTTTGAAAGTTATGAAGAACAAAGTGATTCTGAGTGTAAAAATGGAATTCCCAGCTCCTTTTTGCGAGGCAACCACAAGAGACATGTATGTATCCCCACAGTGCTGCTCAGTGATTGAGATTATTGTAATTTTCAGCAGCTGTATTTCTCAGCTGTGTTTCCCTTCTTGTCAGTGCAGTTTCAAATACCAAGAACATCTTTTTGAGAGAGACGTGAATTAGTGTGGCGGTGACAATTCACAGCAAATTATAGCAGGGGAAAGAAAAGAGGAAAATGTTAAACAGGATCTTCATAAAAAGAAATCCTCAAATTGGATAAAAATGGAATTAAAAATTGGATGATTTTTCCACTTGGGCTGTTCCTCACCTTTTCTCCTTTTGCAGCTGATGGGTTAGTGTAAGCGATAAATAAGTATGAAAAACAATGTGAAGAATGAATGGGGTAACCATGAAAAAAATTGAAGTTTTGGGATCCCTCAGGTGCTGAAAAGTCACAAAGCTATTTGCCAGTGTTCCCTACCTTTTTATCTTAAATCTGCATCACTTCTGCTACTTTAAGGTGACTGTGCTTAATTAAAAGAAAAAAAGTTTTTGTGATCAGAGAGATGCCTGTACCAATTAGTAGGGAGAAAAAGGTGGTGTGGTGGAAATGATCTATCTGCAACATCTCTGGGTGCTCTGGTCTAATACCTTTGGTTGCCTCTGTGCTGTGGGAGGCAGGAGGACACTGATGACATAGGTATGTGCTGGCTGCATCTTGACTGTGCATATAGGCTGCTTTGGCTCCTCTCATTTTGCCCCCCTGCCCTTTCTCTGAGAAAATCCCAGCACGGGAGGCGAGGGGCCACATGGTGCTTTTTGCTGCAAGTCTCTTCTTGGATGACTGGAGGAGCAAGGTGCACAACAGAGCCTTGCACAGTGTTATACTTCACTGAGTAAGAGGACAGGGTCCAGTCCAGTGCCTGGAGTAACTGTGAAAACCTCAGGGTTTCTCTGGTTCATACTAACCAGTAATAGACACCTGTGAGCTACTTCACACGTGGTACCATCAGAGTGCAAAATGCTCCAGCTGCCCATAGCAGAATGGTTAAGAGGTGGTAGAGTAACACCCACAGCTGGAGCAGCACAGCAACAGGAAGAGGAAATGCTACAGGCTGAGAACTGAATCTGTGCAGTCTGTCTGTGTTTTCATAGAGAGAGGCATGCTTTCTTTCTTTAGCTGCTTTCTGCTTCTTTGGTTCTAGATATTTTTTGCTCAAATACTACTTCTATTTCTATCCTCATTTTGCACCTTTCTTTCAGGGAATGCAATCCCGGTAAAGTTGCTCTTTCAAACAGAAAATGTACAAGAAGGATCAAAACTAGGGAACGTGCTCAGGATGGGAATAATAAAGAGACACCATATATTCTTCCATAGGACCCATGTTTTGATTTTGCAGGTTTCTTATCTCAGTGAAAATGAAAACCTTACTGGGTATGTTTCCCCCAGTACCCACTATGTGCTCTCCCCAACCTCCATCCTTGCTGGCAGCCCTTCAGAAGTCAGGGAGTGAGCAATCAACTGATCCTACTCAAATCAGCACTTTGTAAGTTGAGTGCTGATCTTTTGTTTTTGTTTTTTTTTTTGCCGTTGACTAGAACAAACTTAAGCTATTGCAGCTGTTTCTTTCTGAAAAGTTTTGAACTAGACTGAAGCAAACTGAATTTGACTTTTGAATACCTTTGGAAGAGACTGGGCAATACTTTACATGTGAGCATGTGAGTCTTAACATGGCTGCTGATTTGTTTATTTTTTTTAATACTTCTTTTTCCTGATATCTATAGCTTCAACTTTGACTGTAGTTACTGGAATCTGTTTACACATGTGCACAGAGCAAGCTTGACAACTATTAAAAATGTTTATAGGTGTACTTTTTCCTGTAAGATCTCTTACAGGGAAATATTTGAAATGCATTGAGAAGATGGTGCCAGGAATAGGCGCAGGGTGTCTGAACAGGAGACTGAAGAGC